ATAAAGTTCAAAGGTATTATTGCAAAATTGCATAAATCCCCTATGTAGTAGGTCAGACCTCTTTTTCCTATAAAAGCACAACATTATGGAACTTACTGCCCCCACATGTAAAAGCTACACCTGAACTAAAAAAAGTTTGTTTACTTGACTAAATCTTGGCTAAAGGAAAATCAAAGATGTGATCATTTTTAATACTCATATTTTATAGATGAGAAAGTCTTTGTGGGAGTGTATGTATGTTAGCTGAATGTGTGAGGCTGGGGAGGTATTGAGGATGTGCAAAGATATTAATATAAATTTGGAGGGTGCAAGGTTATTTTGGAATTTGTAGAGAGGAAAATGTTTTACTGGAGTTGCGAATTAGCTATAGCTTTTTTTTTTTTGCTCTTTGTGCAATGCATCAGTCATGTTCTGATCTATGTTTGTGTGCATTGTCGTTGTCAAACATAAACTAATAATAATAATAAAATTAATAATATTAGCAAGCATTTAGCCTGCCGTCTAAGGTTCGATGTAGGATGTCATGAAATAAAGTTCCCTTCCTCACCTTCCTTTATTAAATAGGTATTAATTTGCAGAGCTAGTGAGGGTTCAGAAACATTAAATATCCAACATGTAAAGATTAATATTCTCCAGTTTCTTCAGGTATGCTCACTGTACAGCATGTAGGCTCTACAGTGGAAGATAAAACTAAATACTTTTTTAGATTTTTCTACCTGGATTATTGAGCATGCATCAAGATATAAAACTAAATAGTTGCAGGGTTGTGATGACGTAAAGCTGAGTGCAATATTTTTAACTTTTCCTTATTTAATATGTAAGCCATTTTAGATGCTACGCTTATTATTGTACATTTTACAAATTTACAGAAGCAATGAAGCATAGTAAAGATTTGTGTTGTGTCCTGACAAGAAAATCAGTTCCAGTAACCTTGAATGTGACTTGAGTCAATTACATGATGTGATAACTCCAAAGGATCAAATTTATGTGTAATATTCTTTAGCAGAGTTGTTGGATTAATACATTTTTGACCATCTGACCGTGCAAGTAAAGGACTTTTGCTTTGAGTGGTTCCATCCCGTCTTGTTTTACAGATTGGCCAGAGAATTTTGCTTTGACAAAGGTCACACTTTTACATATCAACTGGACAAGGTCTGATTTTTGTATTAAGTTCATCCGCACTTGAGAGCCAACATTGTTCAGTCATAAAGATGTTTCTTGTTTATTACAGATACAGTGCATTTTACAAGATGTGGGGTCCAACATTGCCACCCCTCAATCATCTGCAAGAGAAAGCCATTTAAGTAAGCAAATCTTTTATCGCCACCAATTTTTTGGATCTATGTCCTTATCTTTTGGGGTGATGGTTTCTTTTCTTTTGTTTCTCCCAAGAAAGAACAAAATTCAACGCTCAGTCGGTTACAGACCTGGAAACCTGGATCGATCGTTTTACAGAAGAACTTCCAACATTAACCAACTTCATTTTACCAGTAAGCCCGTTTGTGCTCCTGTGCACATGTTTTTATAAAAGTGGTGATTTTCATGAGTGTGATTTGCATTTCACAGTCTGGTGGGAAGAGTAGTGCAGCTTTGCACTTCGCTCGGACGGTCTGCCGCAGAGCAGAGCGCAGGCAAGTAACTTATTTGTAGTTTTTAAACAATCCGTCTGATTTTTACAGTTATTTTGTCTGAACACGTCTGTTCTTTTTACAGTGTTGCTCCAATCGTGCGCTCAGGGGAGGCAGACCCAGATGTAGCCAAGTTCCTGAACAGGTTTGTATTATGCCTGTAAAACATGTTGTACCTCTCTACACCTCTGATCATTATTTTAATATTTTAATGCAGGCTGAGTGACTACCTGTTCACAGTTGCCAGATATGCAGCCATGAAGGAAGGCAGTGAAGAGAAGATTTACAAGAGACCTGAATGACCTCACCTAACATAAAACTCTTAACTTGTGTTTAGAATGGGGGATGCAGATAATCCAATTATGGGGTGAACTAAAATTCACTAGAACTAAAAGTGTTTTTCTAATCTGATGTATTTCTCTTTGCATTAGATATCAGGTAATAAATTATTTGGTACATGTACATCCAAATTATTATTAAAACTTTACAGAAATTTTATTAGACAAAGCAATTTTTTTTTTATATGTAAAACAAAAATAATAGTAAATAATTGATTCTTCATCTGTAATCTCCCACCGATCGTAGTACCACACCAGTGAATTTGCCATTCCCCAACAGTATGTCAGAGATGTTCAGAACTTTTTGTTGGGGTTGGCACAGTGGATGTCATTGCAAAATAGTTGTATCGTCCTCCCACACTGTCACATGATCTGGCACCAGCCCTGACTCTTCTGGGACAGGGTACAGGCCCAGGTCATTAGAGACAGGTTGCGGTTTTCGTAAGGCGGATAACGCAGATAGGTGACGCACTCAAAGCGTGTGCCTCTAAGCAAGCATGCTTTCCTGTGAGAGAAGGTGTCAAAGCTGTAGCGGCCGTGCAGCGACCCCATTCCACAGGCACCTGGAAGAAGTAAAAACAATGCAAGGACTGATAAGTTGTAGACAACTTTCCCCCTCCATTAAATGCACAGAGTTTGTGGCAAACTCACCCACTCCACCGAAGGGCAAAGCCACCATCAGGCTCTGCAAGGTGCAATCGTTAGAACAAAAGCTTCCACTTGAAGTCTCACTCATCAGCCTGGAAATGACCTGCAGTGACACAAACTCAGGATCACACACTGACCTGCTGAGGAACTGAAGAAGACAGGTTACTTTTAATTATGTACCTTATTGTTGGTGGAATATGCATACACACAGAGAGGTTTCTCTTGCTTGTTAATGAAGGCAATTGCTTCATCCACATCATTTACAGTCAGAACTGGAAGAACTGGGCCAAAAATATCCTGCTGCATGATGGGATCCGATTCTGCCACTTCTGTCAAAACTGTTGGAGCTTCAAATAAAAATCAAGATGTCAGAATCACACGCAATCTTTAAGTGTTATTTTTAACGCAAGTTGGTAAGAAATGTTCTTACCAATATAGTTCTCTGCCTCGGTCACCTTCCCACCAACCACCACCCTGCCAGATCTCCACAACATGTCCCTCGTATGGTGGAAGATCTCTAGGTTGACCATGCGGCCAAAGCTGCGGGACTGTCTGGGATCAGGACCATAGAACTGCATCAGACAGCACTTCAGGGCCTGCAGCAGCCGTGCTTTCACATCCGTGTGGCATAAAATGTAGCTGGGGGCCGTTAAGCTCTGACCTGTGTTGTGGAAACGTGCCCATGCAATGCGCTGCACAGCGGTGGTGATGTCACAGTGCTGGTCCACGTAACATGGATTCTTTCCTCCCAGAATCAAGGTTACAGGGGTGAGAGTTCGAGCTGCAGCCACAGCAATCCTGCTTCCCTCCTCCCTGTTTCCTGAGGAGGGACGGCCACGTTTAATGAATCCGTTTAATACTCAAAGTGTTTAAAATGATTCGTTGTTTACCTGTAAAGAAAACGTGATCAAATTTGAGCTCCACAATCTCAGGCAAGTCACCGATGCCCGCTTGAATCGCATGGAAGCATTCCTTGAGGAAAACAAGAATTTATATCAGACACTTCATTTCTGATTCATGCAAACTATTGCTGATATGCTAATAATAAAAAACACAAAACAACAGGATTACCATGTTCAGCTCCTTCTTGTGATGACAAAAATGCATAATTCCAAGTTTCACCACAAGATGTCTCTCTACACAGAAATTTTAAATCGTTTTGCTTTAGGCCAAAGTTAAATAGTTTGGTTTGGACTGCAGTAATCAATATATTAAGATGTTCTCGGATCATCTCTGTCCCAAAATAGTTCAAGTTATACACATGCCTCCTCTCTTCTATCTTTCTAAAGAAACTGTGCCTCCTGTTTGAGTAGATTTGCCAATGCAAGTACATTTCAAAATAAATGTTTCAATTTATACCGTATTTATACTCATAGTTCTCTAAAAAGATTTTACTTAGTGAAGTATTTCAACCCCAGTAAAGACTAGAAATACTTTTTGCTTTGCTGTTATTAAGCTACATTATCAACCTGTCTCCATTTTGGAAGTTGTTCGTCTTTCTGAGCAGCCAGTTCTGTACTGTCTGACTTACGTTGTCCAAGTAGAAGGGAATGAGACGACAGAGAAGCTCTGCTGTGTGCACGGTGTACTCCGAGGGACTGATAAGTGCGCAGTTTCCTGCAGAAAAAATTTTAAATCAGTGGCTGCGAAGATAGGCTTTAAACCTGTGTTTGTTCAAAAACCTCATTCATCACCTGCTGCAATGGCCCCAACCAGTGGCACCAGACACATTTGAACAGGACTGCACCAGGTCCCCATGATGAACACCACCCCCAGAGGCTCATTGATCACCAGACAATCATCCATAGAGGTGGACTGCGCCAGACAAAGTTCAAATTTAGGTTACAGATTAAGCCAAATTTAACAAGTCTGTAGGTTCAGGTATCAAAACACCATCCCACTAAATCCTTAAAAAGGTCAAGGCAATTTAAGGTTAATCCACTTTAGTCGGCAAAACAATACATTTCTTTGTGGCAGTCTGACTTTTTCCCCCTAAAAGGTTGTGTAAGCCTTAAATAATCCCAATCATGTTATTATGAAAGACTGTTGTAAAATGAGCAACAAACCACAATCTCACCAGGTTCCTTTCCACAGACTGCGGCTGCATCCACTTCTTAAGGTTGCTGATGGCATGAAGAGCCTCGTTCTTGACCGTTATCAGTTCAAACACGACGGTCTCAAACCGTGGCTGATGCATTAAAAACAGCAACAGAGAATGCAGGCAAAGAAAGCAGAGAAATTGTCAGTTTTCTCTGTTTGAAAGATGACATGGAGTTATTATCAAGAGTCAATCCTCACCTTATGAAGGTCTCTTCCAAGAGCATCAACAAAGTCACACTCATGTTCCTCCAGCATCCTCACCACAGCCTCCAGCTGAGCCAGTCTGAAGACCTCCGTCAAGGTCCGTCCAGCCTGAAAGGCAATTCTGGCCCTCCTCAGCAGATCCACACACTCCACAGGATAGGTTTTCCAACTGGGCTCTCCCAGCCTGGTCCTGGAACAGGCAGTGATTAACACCATTCTCTGGATAAACAATTTTTTCATCTCACTATACCTTCAGCATGTTAAGCTGCCAATCCTCTGACAAACATACCAAGCTTTTTTTATTGCTTAGTTTTAAAACCTCCTATGAGATCAAATTTATCCTTTGAATAAAGTACAAAGTAATTGGAAGCTAAGCTTTGGCACGTTCTTTCTAAAAGTCTCCTCCAAATCCTAAAAACACCAGTGAGGTGATGCTCACAAAACTATTTTCAACTCTGCCACTCCGAACATCAAGGCAGTGTTATGTTGTTCATTTATTAACAACTCATATTCATGTTAAATAAAGGCTACTTTAGATAATCTAATAAATTAATAGGTTTTACCTGCGGAGCGCTTTGAACCATCTGGTTGGAGAAGGACTTGGTGGACTGCTCATGGTTACCTGGATCCAGCTGAAACGACTGCGAAAGCTCCAATCGCTGATGCGAAAACTCACGAAGAGCCGCGTTAACTCCTCACGACAAGCAACACAGAGGAGAATTTAGAGTCCGGATTGGGCATTTACACTATAATCCATGCAGTGTTTAGGAAAACCAGTGCACAAAAAGTCCACCTCCTCCAGTTTGCCTATCACAGATCCACAGTGGCTCCATGTCACGACGCAACAGGTGTTTTTAATCAACAATATACTGAAGCTGGAAAGAATAAAATGCCCACTTAATGTTAATGAGTTAAATTATTTTATAGCACTTGATTTAACATTACACGATGGGGAAAACGGTATTTTACATGTAGACAAATCTAGCACGAGTCCTTTCAAAAGCAACAACACTTAATCTTGTGCAGTCAATTTCAAAGACACACACTTTGTCACAGGAAATGTGGGAACAGTTTCAAGTTCATTTTTATTGTTTCTTGTAAAAGATTGGAAAGTCCAAGCCAGCATTAGCAGTCTACTGCAACAGTTAAAGTCCACTCTTGACATCATATTAAAACATGAGTGAGCTCATAAGAGACAGAAACAAGCATCTGAGGTATCTCTTCTCTCTTACAATATACTTGTTGTAGTGTGTCAAAAAAAATCAAACTGCAGTTTCCAATTCTTGTTCATAAGGACTAAAAATGTGCTAAACTGAAGTAAGATCCTCCCTTATTTGCAAGATTTGAAAACCCTATTAGTAGACAGGAGGTAACATCCAGCGTTACTTATATATGTAAGAGTAGTATTTTCTTTATAAATCATTTTAAACTGTTTCCACACAAGTTAGTGGCCATTGTAGAACTAGATAAATTAGTTACTAAAAAAAGTATCCATAATCATTCATGACGGAAAACACTTTTTTTTTTGCATAATAAATGACTTTGCTTGATAAAGATTTGCTATTTTCACTTTCTTTGAAGGAAAGTTGCAGGTTTTTTTTCTAGGAAGTCCCTTCTTTCACATTCTGAACCCTGTAAAAAGTAATATTAAGAGAACGTTTGCCTTCTTGTTGTCTTCACCCAAAACAGCTAAACACAAGTGCAACATTTCCAAGGAAGGTCCAATCAATCAGTCCATGACATCATTTCAAAAGTTGTTGTTTTTTTTCCCGCATGGCTTGAAACATCCACATAAATCAGCGAGAAGTCAACTTGAATCATCTATGGTTGTGATTGTAGTGGTTATCGCTTTGCCTCGTTAGAGATGACGTCCAGGACCACAGCCCCAACTTTTATGGCTTTTGTTTCCACGAAATGTCGTTCTTGGTTGGAGCTGAATCCCGGTCACACGTGGTGATGGTGGAACATGAGGCACAAAGCGTAAATTAGAGGTGAAGTCTGATTAAAAATACACAAATTCCTCATGTTTCCAAAGTGTGGAGCAGAGATGTCTTCTAGTGCTGCTCTGCAGATGCAAATATAAAAAAACAGTTCCTGTATTTTTCTTTTCTTAAAGGTAACTGATGCTACAACAAGGACATCATCTTCATAGCCAACAACAGCATGTTCAGACTTTTTAAAAACATTTCTTATTTAATCAGCATAACTGAGGTATTTCCTCAAAAGTAGAGATATTAAAATCAGAAGGTTGATGTTTTCATGGGTTTCTGCCAAAAGGAACGCACTTCCTCAAAATGGGACATTAACATTGCAGGAGCATCATTATGAATTAAATAAAATGTTTAATGTTAAATACAATGTTTTCTATTAATAATAAATGCTTTTCAATTTTTTTTAAAGAAAATAATGTTTAACCACTAAGTCAATATTTGACTGAAGTTGCCCGGATGATGGAACCATCAGTATATCAATGCATCTGCACTTGAGTGTCAGCAATTCTGTTCCAGTTCTTTTAAAATGGTGGCGTTTGATCCAAGATGACTCTGTTAAGCCTGAGAAACAGATCCAACCATATATATTTATATTGTATCATGCCAAATATGGGATATGTTCACTTTAAATAAGAAGAGGCAGGGTGGTGTAGGGGGGCATGTTAAAAATGAACTGGGTTGCAGGAACTGCATCGTTTTTGATAGTCGTAGTTTTCACTCCATCAGAGCTCAGGAAGCAAAAGACGACTGTCACTGTGCTTCTTGTCCCCCACCTTTATTGAGCTGATGAGTCGGTCCAGGTAAACTGGGCCTCTCGCTTGGTTCTCGCTGTTTTACCACAAGCCTCCTGTGCGTATTGTCCAAATGCAGCAGAGTTAGGAGAGCTCGAAGCCCGTGTTCATGCTGATGGCGTAGCGCAGTTTGTCACGCAGGATGCTCTTCTTGCTGTAGTTGGGCAGCTTGAGCAGGTTGAAGCACGTGGATGAAGTAGGAAGTCGACCGCCGGGCTCCTTCTTTCGGATGGTGAAGAAGCCCCTGAGGACGCTGCCGAGGGTGTCTCCAGTGTCCTGCACACAAGTTGAACACACTCATCAGAGCACATGCACAGGTAGATACAAATTATTTTTTGCTATTCAAGGATTGACACAAATTCTGCAAGTTCAGCTTTTTATCAAAACCAATTAAGCTAAATATTGTGATTAATTATGATGTTTTTAGATTATTATTCAAAAAATAAATACAGTTTATTATGATAAAAAAAAAAAAAAAAAAAAACTACATTCTTAATCATTGTAATCATGTCCCAATGTAAAAATTTATGATGAGGGATTTTTTTTCCTCCCAACTCATGGCCTTAATTTGAAAGGAAAGTGAAGGAAAGTTGAGCAAAGGGTCAAAGGTCAGGACTCAAACTCTTGACAGCTGTGATGAAGACCTTCAGCCTCCACCCACCGTGCTCCTACTCAACCAGCTAAACAGTCCAGGTCCCCAAATCCCATTCATTTATAATGTTATCTTGGCTAATTCATTTCAAATCAATTTGCATATAATATATAATATAGACACCGTCACACATTTTAAATGTATTTAAAATGTTATTTTACCTGATCATCTGAAACTTCCACACAGCGAATAGAAAAAGGTGGTTTGAGGTAAGCAAAACCTAGAAGAGGTGGCCTTGAGCAGCTGGTAACAAACTGTTGAAAATGTTTTTGGAAAAATGAAAGATTTCATAACTTATGGCAGCAAAATAAAAACAAAGCATTTATTTGTGTAAAAAAAAAAACATACTTTAAGAAACATAGCCCTCTCTTCGGCATTAAAATCGCTAGACAGGATGTCCCAGAGCCAGAGGATGACACGATGACTGCTGTGGAAACCTCCGTAGTAGACGGTGTGTTTCCTGAGGAGGAGAAGAAGACTATCAGCACGTCGAACGAGACTTTATCCAACTGCTCTCACTGGAGAAATAACAAAAGACGAATAAAGTATAACGCTTCTCACTTGAGGTCATCTAGATCAATTTCAGCGTTATCTCCAGAGATAAGCCGCTGAACCTCGGGCGTGGAAAACATATGCAGCCACTCGGGATTAATGATGCTGCGGAAACCCCGAATGAAAGCGGCCGTTTGCTCTTTAATCTGCGTGTGCATCCGAAAGTGAGCCATCAGATGGATGTAGCTGATCCTGCAGAAGATGGTGAAGGTGAACTCAGATGCTGAAGTTTCTACTGAGGCTCAAACATTTAGCCAAAAACAGACATCTTAAAATGAGAAAGGATCAAGATGTTCATATTTGAACAGTGTCTTCATTTACATACTTGTTTTCATTGGTGACTGGCATCGTTTTTCCTCCAGGTATCAACTCATGACAGACAAGCTGTAAATAAATATTAAGTATTGTCAATTATAAATATGTAATAAGTATACATGTATGGCATACCTTTGATAGTCGCCATATTTACCTGCCCCATAACATCTTCATCATAGGACAACGTCAGCCCCAGATCCCCCACATCGCCATCATAGCGCTGACAAAATAAAAAGGATTTGACATAAGAAACTACAGATGTGAATCGGATAAATAAGAAAGAAAAAAAAACAGAAAAGCAAATACAATTAGGCTGACCTTGATGGAGGTAAGGTTTTTATAAAACTCTGAGTCCAGGGAGGGGAGCTCATCAATAGAGCTGTAAAACGTGCTGTGATGGTGGCCCAAGACTTGACTGAGGAAGAAGGAGGCAAACGGGACGTCCACAACAATTCCCTGAGCAGACAGACCAAACAGTTACTGAGATCATCACATCAAATTCAGAGCAGGACTACAAAGTGATTACTTTTAGATTTAAAAAAAATACAAGCTGTACCTCGTAAATAGCTTTCCCGAGCATCTTTCCTACAAACTCAAACAGCTGCAAATGATTCTCGTGGATGTAGGATGTAGGCGAAGGATATAATCTTTCATTTCCACTTGTCGTCTAAAAACATTTATACGAAAAAAAACAAAAGCATCTAACCAAAAACAGAAATCTGATAGGAGAATCATGGTGGTTTATTTATGGCAAGTTTATGTTTGTATGGGTTACCTTGAACAGATTAAGAGCTGGATTGAAAACTTTCTTAATGATTTCCTCTAGAAACTCTTTAAAGACGCCATCTTGGTCGATTCCAGCCTCGTCTACACCGAGGTCGTTTACAAACTTGACTCGAATGACACCTTTTATCGAATTCACTGGCAACCTGCGGAGCTGGTCGTATCCATCCTTCAGACAGGGAAATCAAAGTGTCATTATTGGCTATAAAAGAGACACACCATTGTTTGCTGCTAATAGGAAAAGCACAAATCGTTTAACTGAGTACCTCCAGCATCCGAGAACGACGAATGGTAATGTGGGTGACGTGCGGTGAGGCAGAGCTTGTTTCTACCAATCCTAAACTTTCTTTTTCCTTTGTGACAATGTTTCTGAACAGCAGCACCCTCTGAAAAGAGAATGTTGTTTAATTGCTAGACAGGAAGTGATTATGTCTCCATCTTGAAAGGAAAAAAAAAAGCTGAGATATTCACATTTTTATGTGGGATAACATGTGGGATGTACTGCAGTAAAAGCTGGGCTCTTTTCTTGCCTTTCTCCAGTTCTTGGAACAACAGGCTAGGCTTCAGATCCCTGAATGCACCACCAGAAACATTGGTCACAAAAACAGTGAAACCTTAAACTGAAGGCCAACACGTCTGCAGTAATAATTTAGAGTTTTGTATTTACTTGCGTAGCCAGTGATCGTCAGGCGTGAACCTCCGCCTGCAGTCTCGTTCGTAGAGCACCATCAGCCAGCCGTGAACACTGTGGAACAGCTCCAGTTTATCTCCTTTCGCATTTTCTATCCAACACAAAATATAAAACAACTTTTTTCAATCAAATTACGTAAAGTCGTTACAAATTTTATAGTTTCCACACTCACCCAAGATGCCATCCCAAATCATCTTGTACACAAATGTGTTCAGAAAAAAGGAGATGGTGATGAGCTCCTCCAGTTTGAAAGAGGTTTGTTCTTCGTACACTTCAATATCGTCCAGAATTCTGTGAAATTCAATCCAGTTTTTTTTTTTAATACATGGCATCAAACCACAATGTGTCATCTCAAGCCCCATACAAAGAGTTCAATTCTTCAGTTAGAGCAGGGCTATTCAACTGGTGGCCCGTGGGCCATTTACAGCCCACGGGCTGTGACTTCAACCTGGCCCACTTCATTAAAAAACAAAAAAAAATAAAAAAATAAAAATTTGGTGTGTGTGTGTGGGGGGGGGCGGGGGGTATGGGTTCTGTTTATTGCATTTATGATTCAATGCAATAAAATAAGCAAATTTAAAAGATAACAGATCTTTGTAAAATTTGGTTTATTTACATAATGACTTTAATCGCTGGATGTCCGGCCCCTGAGCTGTTGGCTTTCACAAACTGTGGCCCCCTGAACAGTTTAGTTGAATAGCCCTGAGTTAGAGGATCTTTAAGAGTGTCTCTGGACACGCTCATCGCCCTTGCATCCCCCCGTTCTCCCCCGGAATGTCGGCATCATTATGTGCTTGCGCGCAAGGTTTTTTTTTTTTTTTTCATTTTCAGGCTATTAATCTTTAGCCAAAGATTAAGAGCGTGTTGGGAAATTATTACTTTTTGCCTCCAAAACCTATGTTGTCATTTTCACCATGTTATCGTCTGTCCAAACAGATCTCACTTGTAAATGAGTCTTCGAGGCTCAGTGTAATTTCATATGCTAAACATAAGCTAAATAAAGATTTACAAATTTACGTTATGAGGTGACGTGAGCAGTCACAGAAGAGCACGAGCATAGCCAGAAGCTGTTTGGACTCTTCGGTGTCATTGTTCAGACACTCCATGAAAAGTTTGAGACCCCCCTGAGGTCCAAGCTCACAGATGAAGGCCCACAGTTTGGGTAAAAGGTCATCCAGATGTGTCAAACCTGCGGGGAAAAAACAAACAAACAGGGCCACATGTCATTATGATCATGTCAAGTGTATACCGCCACAAAAAGTTCCATTGTTACAGACCAGTGAGAATCTGGAGGCGTATTTGTGTCAGTGTGGACAGAGCAGTCTGGTAGAGGACACAGATGCTGCACACTTTCTGAACTTCAGCGGAGTCCACTCGCTTCCCTCCGACTGGTTTCAGAATGTTTCGCACTGAAGCCGACTTCTGAAACGCTCTCTTGAAGAGATCTTCCGAAAAATAAATCACAACATTGCATCCTGTCCGTAAAAAAATAAACTCCAAAGGTTTTGAACCTTTTTAAAATTTCAGAGCAAGCTGTGCATGCCTAACTTACTTTTAACTGGCAGATTGTTTTGAGATGTGCTTGGCTGTGGGGGTGGGGGAGTGGGCTCCTGACTCTCCAGCTTTTTAGAGAGGACATCGCTGAAGAGCGTCCGGATTACAGAAACACCCCACAGGTACTGAAGCTGTTTGGTGACCAGTGGCATCGACTCGTTCAGACTAAAACGAAAATGAAACAAAAGATGCAGAAAAGAGGGAAAGTAAACTTAATGTCTTTGTTATTACTTGTTCAACCAAATAAATTACACAATAAAAAGGTTTTTATTAACTTAAGGGATGACATAGTAGATGGAAGTATTTTGCTTTCATACTAAAAAGACATATATCCCGCTCTAGTCTAATGCAACTTTAATAAAAACAAAATAGAGCAACAGAAACCAGGGATTTAATATCCCACCTTTTTATCTAACATTTTGTTTGTGTCAGAGGCTGCAAAATAGATCTTTACATGAACACTAACAATTCCTTGACATTTTATAGAAAAGAATAAAAAATAACATTTTAAAGAGTGTTTCTCAAAACTTTATCGGTTTTAGAAAATATTCAATTTCCTTTTTTTGAGTACCAGGCAGAATTAGTCTACCAAACCGTCTTTGTAATTTAGCTTACATTTAAAAGGAATTAATTTAGGCACATGTTAAGTATTTCCACTGACCCATAGTCTACAGTTTGAGAAAACCAGCCCAGAACGGGGTGCCAGTGGGTAAGGTTGGACTTCTTCTGTGACACATATCTCTGGCAGTATGACAGCATGTCAGTCAGGTCTTTCACAAAATGGTTTGCCTCCTCTTCTATGACTTTCACATTAAGGTAACCCAAGTAGATCAGATTGCCTGTCAAGAGGAGAAGGATGCAAGTAAAGTTAACAATAAAAATTGATTTTTTTATATTCAAAATTGTACTAACTGAAAGTATAAACATTTGTGTTATTCAATCAATACACTATACCAAGTAGGCATAGTGTGTGGCTGCCCTCAAGGCACACACAGATGTCCAGACACTGTTCCTCCCGATTGAGAAACAAAATAAACTTCCGCAGCAGTTCGTGCGTCTGAATGGATGCCATGCACTGTTGAGTCCAAGCAGACGCCGGGGCAAACATTTCAGATTAATACATTCAGTTCTCGCAGTGCAACAAGAACACAAAGCAAATGGCTTTTACCTCTGGAGTCAGCACATTAAGGTGGTATACGATGGCAGGAACCGACATGATGTGGATGAGGAATGATCTTAGCAGGTTGTCTGAGAAGTGCGCAGCAATGACTGGCCTGGAAAATATTATGTTTAGATTAAATATAAATATGTAAACAGACAAACAGAAACAGAAAAAGATGAGGAAAAAAACAGCTACAACAAAACAACATACAACTGTGATTCCTTCATGTAATTAGCTCTAGAACTTACCTCATTGACAAAGTAAAAATGGCTGTCAAAGTTCCTTTGGAGAGCGATGGTTTAGAACGAGCCAAGCCATTGGTAAGTAAAATCTAAACATAAATGTTCACACACATTGTGTGTTTCTGATTAACACATCAGTTGAAATGAAAGAGCAGAAGAAAACGATCCCACTTCTTATTTTTTGAAAACGTTATACAAATATGAGTTGTAATGGTCAACCTGTAAAGATGAATAGAATCCCTTTTGATTGAGATGGCCCATGATATTTTCACAAATCCTTGTCAAAGCAGGTCTGAGAGCTTCACCTGTAACATTGATGATAAATTATGTTTTTATTACCGGTATGTTTCTCTGATAAAGCATGTCCAGTGATAACAAAAGACCTGTTTATACTTGAGACTCACCTTTTCCTCGGATGATCCGCCACGTTGATGTATCAGTGAAGGTCACCAGCATTGTGAGGTATAATGTTACTAACTTGTTATCCTGAAGTATGTCTGGCTAAAAAAAATCCCAGCAGACACAGCAGCATTACGTACAATCACAACGCTGAAACTGTAATCAAAACTTATTTTTCCAAAACTTTATTCAAACTAACCTTTAAACCTTTTAGTAGTTGACAGCAGGTCCACAGCACGTCTTTAATCTGTTTGAGCCAGGGAATGGTGAGGTCTTTGGAAAGAGCCAAGGAAACATACCAGACCTGAGAACCAAATTAAAGAACATTCACTGAGAAAAAGACATTTTAAAAGTGTTTGTCATGTGGAAGGTACCTACATAAACACACTTACTTTAGGTTCATTTTCCACCTCCATGCTGGCCAGAATAGCACGACAGAGCTTCTCAAATCTCTAAAAATCAGAATTACAGTTATTTAGAGTTACACAGACATAAAGTTTATAAAGTAAAGTAGTAGAGTATAGACAAGAACAAATTATTAAATTGTTATGTTAAAAAGACTTGGGAACACATAGTATGTGTTCAAATAAAATAATTTTATATATGAAGGTACTTGTACTTTGGAGTGTAACAGGAGCATTTTTACTTTAAGATAACATCAGTTTCATTAATATGATTTCAATTTAAAGTAATGTATATAAAAAATAAGGGTTTTAGTTGATTGAACAAATAATCTGTCATAAGTAAAACTGTGAGATATCTTATAAGATATGGCACAAGTTTAAAATATATCTAGCTGTGACAACGAAAAGACAGGCCCATATGCAGGGGAGATTCGTTGGTCTTTTCTTAATTCTGTTCATAATAAATTGTGCATGAAAGTATAAAATACACATTTTAAATGAATTTATTGTATCACTTTAACCCCTCTTGTACTTAATATGTGTTAATCAATGTTAAAAACAGACACAGACTCACCGTCTTATCATCTTGGCTGTATATGAACAGTAACTTTCGAGCCACTTTAAAAATGGGAAGAGCATTTCTCTTTGTTGTCCCAGTGTCATTAGCTTGAAAATATTCATCAACCTCTTTTCTGGGAATACAAAAGTGACAAAAGCAAACAGTTGCATTAATGTGAAATTGAGAAACATTTACTTGTTTCACTTGTGGGAAAAAAACCAATAACAATTCTTCACCTTATTTGTTTCTGGAGTCTGCAGCGACAAAGGAATCTCCTGACCAGAGCTTGAATGGTGGTTGCTGCTTTCTCCTTCTCTTTCTGTCCCTTTCTTTCCTCTCTAGCCTGTCTGGCTTTATCCAGGAACTCGGACTTGGAGCTTTGAGGGACACTAAACATTGTTTAATCTAGGGGTGGAAAGAAACGAATGTAAAATACTTTGGGCTACTGCAATCTGCACAGTGGTATTGAAGATATTTTTAAAGTAGTGTCACAGCAAACCTATGCTATTTTTACTTTTCACAAAGTTGGATCATGTTGTTTTATTTGAGTCTATTACTGAACTTACCTGTAACACTGACGGGAAGATTTTGTCTGGCCTTTAGGCTCACCTGACGCTATACCTTCTTAATCATTTGTCTGTCCGTGACATCCAAAGAGGAAGGACAAAAAAATTAAAAGACTAACTTGGCATCTTGTAAAATAAATAACGACACAGAAGATAAGCAAGCAGCGATGGTTAGCTCACAGGACTCGTTCGCAACTTGTCGGCTTGACGCTGACTATATGTTAATATTTTACATCAATTTAGAGAAATATGGCATCATGTTGGTGTGATGTTTAATCCCGTATCGATGTCAAGTTTTCTAACGCAGGGAACAGACCGTTTTGAAATGTAAACAATGAGATGGAATGCCTACATTGACCGCAGCCATTAATCCCTTGTGTCGCATTAAATGACTCCGGGTAACATTAATGGCCATGATCAGGTTGCGGGACAAAACTTTGTGCTAATGGAAAGTCTGAGACTAGCTAAATTACCGTCGTTTTGTGTGGTAACAACAGTGACTTTTGAGTAGGTTTTGTGTCGAAAATAAGCATTCCATTTTACGTGCTGGGAGGGCACGTCAATGGGTGGGCGGTGAAGAGGGGACTGATTTCACTGTTACTCCTTCGTTAGCGGAAACGTTCAGTCTAAAGAGTTTAAACAGTTTTTATCAATCGCAGTGGTTCAGCAACTGTGTGAGCTCCTGCATAATTATTTGTTGTATAACATACTCTTACTGAAAAACATTATAAAGTTCACTAAATAATGCTACCTGTCACTTTAAACAGTGTTAAAGACAGTTGACGTCATTTTGGAAAACTGCAGTGCTCGCGGATCGGCGGAAGGAAGTGGTTGTTAGCTGGCTGGCGTTAGCAAGCTACGTTTACCGAGGCTGTTGTTGATTCTATGGTAAATATATGTATTTTTACTCAAGAGCAAGTTAACGACCTTGCGATGAAAGTATTTAACGTGTATTTTTATTACTTTATTTTGTAGTATTCAGTAATTTACTTGCTATAGAACGCTTTCGGCATCAATAGTTATGCTAATTAGCCTGCTAGGCCCCAGTGGGCACTGAAATGAAATTACGAGTTTTTGTTAGAAAAATATATAAGCTTTACTTAAACATAGCAGAGTTCGTTGTTTTTAAACTAAATTGATTGCGGCTGTGTTGTAAAACTTTTTAATTTTCATACACTCTTTACGTGATCAAACCGCGAATTACGAAGTTACCACTACCCTATGCTTGTTTTATTTTAATTTACTAGATAAAACGTCTATTAAAAAACAACTAGGTCTAGGAATCGCATGGTAAAGGCAACTTTAAATTAAAAGTCGAAAATAACGTTGAGGATCCAAAGTTATAGCAAAATTATGTAATTAAAGGTTAGTTAATGGTTGAACATTTTGAGTTGGGTACAAGCCAGGGTACGAAATGGTAATGCCTGACCTGGGTATGGTACAGTGTCATACAAGCATGAAGGGCCACCAAGAATCACAGAGTTGTGCTCTCCAGTCAACTCACGAGCAACAACATAGAAAAGCAATATTGTTTAAAGTAATTATGGAGCAGTTTACAGGCTGGCAACCTCACACATTTATGTTTGAATTGAGAAATCTCAGATGAGATACAAAAAAACAAAAAAAAGTAGTCCAATAGCATTATTTATTTATACTGGATATTGATAACCTACTAAAAGGTGTTTAGTGTTTACAGATCTGAACAATAGTGAAAGATAACAGCTAAATTTAACTAGGGGGAAATGATTGCTCTGCTTTTTTTCACTCTGTGACAAAACTTTAGAAACCTGACTTACCTTTTTAGCAAACCTATAGAAGGCTCTCTGTCACTCTTTCTTTCAGGGTGTTTGAGGTTGTAGTCAGTCACACAGCTACCTAATGGATACATTATATTAAGGATTACAATATTTATTTTTATTTACCCTTTATTTATCCAGGTTAGCCCATTGAAAACTCATCCTCATTTACAACAACAACCTGTCCAAGAGGCAGCAACAAGCGGTTAGATATTTCACCAGATACTGTTATCAAACCCAACTTACAAATAGACATAAAACGCTTGTCAGACTGAGCGCATTAATGATAAACTTGATAAGGTTTCGATGTCTTTTAGAGGTGGTCTTAATGACTGAGAACTAAAGAGCTCAACTTTAGTCAAGAAAGAAAAAGTTTAATTTGCATGTACATCCTTCTGATTAAATTCAATGGTCATATGCACCATATGTGATCATTAGATAACCATGATATATGCTGTATCAGTGTTTAGACTGAAAAATGCATGTAAGATGTGCAGTTTAGTAAGATCCATTTTTGTTGTATTTTGTGTTGCTCCAGGAAGAGATGTCAGGAGAGACTGTGGTGAGCTCGGCAGTGCCAGCAACTACAACACGAACTACTTCTTTCAAAGGCTCCAGCCCAAGCTCCAAATATGTCAAATTAAATGTGGGCGGAGCGCTATACTACACTACGATGCAGACGCTTACCAAGCAGGACACGATGCTCAAAGCTATGTTCAGCGGCAGGATGGAGGTGCTCACAGATAGTGAGGGTGAGAAATTTTGACTGTTTTGCTGCTTTTAATTGGATCTGTTCTTTTCTTAACTGTTAAGCATGTCCTCTTTATAGGTTGGATCTTGATTGATCGCTGTGGGAAACACTTTGGAACGATCCTCAACTACCTTAGGGATGGAGCAGTCCCACTCCCAGACAGCCGCCGGGAAACTGAGGAGCTTCTTGCAGAGGCCAAGTATTATCTTGTCCAGGGCCTGGCTGACGAGTGTTCTGCTGCCTTGCAGGTATGTGGGGTTTGATTCTTCAGCAATTAATTTGAAATACTTCAGCATTCTTTTAAACTCCAGGCTTTATTCAAGGTTGAATTGAACATTGCATATAAATATAAATTCTTTAAAAATATATATAATTTTGCATTTTAAAAGTACTTACTTAAAAACATATTTGACAAAAAATGAAGGTGATGATCTGCTTGTTTCCACATTTGTGTATTCTTCTTTAATCAATTTGCTTTAAAAGTCTTGGTTATTGTACAACAGTGACTTCCCTTTTCATAATAAATAGGTTTAGTTGGGAAATTTTGTTATTAAAAAGTTAAAACTTTTGTTTCAGAACAAAGTAAGATATGAACCCCTTTGCAAAGTGCCTCTCATGACATCATCTAAAGAAGAGCAGCGACTCATTGCGACCTCAAATAAGGTATGTCAGGGATTTGTATTTTATACTTTTTATGAACTGTGCCTAATTTATGTGTTTAGTGTAATGATAAATTTGCCACACAAGAGCTTTTAATGATAACTTTTTTTAACAGCCTACTGTGAAACTGCTGTGTAACAGAAGCAACAACAAATATTCATATACCAGGTAAGTTTTATTCATCTGATAACTGGACGTAAATAATAATACTAAAACAAAAACAAAATAGCATTTTACAACTTTTTTCTTTGTCTCCCATCCAGCAATTCTGATGACAACATGCTAAAAAATATTGAGCTGTTTGACAAGCTGTCATTGCGGTTCAATGGTCGAGTACTGTTCATCAAAGATGTGATTGGAGATGAGATTTGTTGTTGGTCATTTTATGGCCAGGGCCGTAAGATTGCTGAAGTGTGTTGCACTTCCATTGTTTATGCCACAGAAAAGAAGCAGACCAAGGTAAATATGCATTCTGAGTACATCTGCTCAATACAGCACTCCTCGTTGTTTCTGCAAAGAGCTGCCATTTTCTGTACCAATCTCTGCATTTTTGTGAAACTAAGGTTGAGTTCCCTGAGGCACGAATCTATGAGGAGACCCTCAACATCCTTCTGTACGAGTCTCAAGACGACGCTACCATAGACCCTCCTGATGAGCGATATCGTCTGGATGAGGACGAGGAGCGAGAACGATCTGAGCGATTTCGAAGGTTTCATATCAAACGACCCGATGACCGCACACACCACCACCACCAGTGACCTCTCTCCTGTGACACAGCTGCCTGTTCCTCTGACCCTGGACAGTGTCTGCACCATGCTTGTGCCTTACAACACCCAGCACCTGTCTCTTTGCCTTCCCAGTTGTTACCAGCTTTTCTAGGCGATCACTGTAACATGAGTGTGTAGTATTGAGGTGATTGTGTGTTTTTGTTTCTTCTTGTCTTATTTGTTAAGCACTCAGGCTCTATAGTTTTCAGTTTGTAAGCCACAATAATGACAGGAGCTTGTATGTTTGCATTCAGCACATCAGGCAACCAGTTCAATCAGTGCGTTTGGAGAAGCAGAGAGAGCTGTCTGTAGGGGTTCTGCAATCTACGTGAAATACAGAAAAATAAAAATTAAACCTTATAATCAACTAAAATTTATAGATTTTTCAGCTTTTTCCTCACTGTGGTTTATACAAGTCCACGTTAATGTCATCAGTGGATGAAACTGGTGTTTTACACAGAGCAGCCACATGATGGCAATATTCTACTAGATGTTACCATGGCTATTTGTAGCCTGATAATTAAAATTCTCTAAAATATTTTATATAGTTAGGGCATCGCCAAAGGAACAAACATTTTACTGAAGTGCTTGGTCTGTTTTTAGTTTTACCATTGATGTATTTTTCTTTACTCCACTAAAATCTTTTTTGTATAAGTAGGGAATTTGATCTCTGACCCGAGGTGTTAAATGTACCTGATGGAATGATGTCTGCTGAGGTTGAAGTGAGTGAGTGCAATTGGAGACCTCGGTACCAGGAAAGGAGTTCTGTCTACAAGTTCCTAACAGGGAGGTAAAGTCGACCTGTCCGTCATTCACCAGAGACTGTACCGTTTGCACACTATAGGTTTAAGTTGCAGGACTTGTAGGTATGTTGTACAAAAGTAAACTTAAAATGTTTTATATTTTATACACTTTATCACAAATAAATTTCATAAACAATCTTTTGTTTTAGTTTTTTAATTCACATATTTGTGTAAATACAAAATCATAAATACGTATGGCTTTGTTATTCCGAAATCAGAATTGTAACAGTTATTTTGTAGAATGTGTTAAATTTAACCTTGCATGCGATGTTAGTTGGATACCTTTAAGGATAGAAAAACTAATACTATAATGACAAGTTGAAATGAACTTTTGATTAACCTCTGGTCCAAATGATGCGTTTAAGAAAACGAAGCTCATTCTGGATGTCTTGTGTGTTGCTGTTCCTGGTCTCAGGTGTGTCTTCTGTAGGCCGATCTGCTCCTTGGGGTCAGACGATAAAATATGCAGGGGCCACTTGTGCGTCTCTTCTGCCCTCACATGTCACCGTGTCCTTGTACGAGTGGCAACCTGCAGCGACAAACGGTCTGATTCATGTGGTGTCTTTTTCTTAGCAAATGACCTTCAGGCCACGATGTTCAAATATCCCATCAGTCCATTTACTTCATTATAAGACTGAACTCACCACCATGAGGTGTCCATTCTTGGCTTTGTACACCATTGGCTCCTGTCCAGTGCTAAAGTCTACTGCGGTCTCTTTTCCTGGCTGGATTTCGACCTTTATGCTGAAAAATATTGAAAACAAAAAAGGGATTTTAAGATGGCTGTACTGAAGATGGACCTTTAAAATGTAAAGCTCTAACTCACCTGCCCTGGACCACTTTGATAGCACTCTGTTTGTTAGCAATGATGCTAAGTTGGGTCAGACACTCAAACAAATGGTCACACTGAATTATCAGATCTCCCTGAAACAACCAGAGGGAAACAGACTAAATAAAAGGACTCTGTAAATCACTCGCCTCTTTTCCCCCCTTGGTTTATTTGCACCAGATTTGATAAAGGGTGCTAGTGCACAAGTAGTTTAACACTTCTTACTTTTCTTTAATGAAAAATAACAATGCTCCTATATTTTGTCGCACGGCTTTGAATTAAAACATGCAGCTTGATTAAGAATAGTATGTTTTATGTTTTGGTAGTGGTATGTTGTACAACAGATAAAATGTGCAACAATAATGGGACTTTTGTGAAACAGAAAAATCAGCCCTCTTTGGAGCTCGACAGCTCATATACTTAACAGGAACATTGTTCAAAGTTTAAATGGGTCATAGTTGAGCTTTGGCATTTTGATCAGTTTTACAGTTTTTACTCAATCTGAAATTTTGAGCTGTCTAAAAAAAACTTTTGCAAAAACACCTCTTCACTCATTTGTTTTTGGTTTCATTCACAAATTATACGTCAGAACAATTTGTCTTCTTTCACCCAGCACATCTCCCACTGCTGTAGAACTTTTAACCATCACCTACATAAAACTGTGGAAAAATTAGCATTTACATGATGTGACCATCAGAGTCTTCTTGCAGCTCACCGTTCACGACAGTCCGACTTACAGTTTTAACACAGCAGCTGTTTGAGCCCTATTTTCAGCAGTGGTTGCATCGGCACCCTTCAAATTTTTACCAGACATTTTTCAGTTTCTGTAAAATAAACGTGACTTGTATGCAGATATCCACAGCTTATTAAATGAGGACTTACTTTTTGTTTGGGGTCTTCACGTGTTATGTGGAATACAATGATGCCATCAGATAAGTTGCTTACAGAAATCCCTGCAACAAGTCAGAAAAAGCAAATCAAACCAAGAACACTTAATGAGCACAGCATAAAATGTCATTTTGGTCTGACCTTTGAGGGACATGTACAGCACTCTCTGTTTGATTTTGGCCTCCTCCACCACATAAGCAGCAGTTTGAGTGAGGATGAACTGCCTTGGCCTCGGTTTGAAGCCATTCCTGTCATATTTAATCACTGGAACGCTGTACTACAGAAACACATACGCAATACAGTGAGCACCGTTTGATGTGCTGAAATCAGCAATGTTATTTTATTACCTTAATTTGCTCCTTGCGAATCATACTGAGGACTCCCATGTTTATCTCTTGGTCACCTAAAGGTGGTAAAACATGTCAACATACGGTAATTGTTCGAAACTAAAAGGACATTGTGTGATTTTTCTTTCTGAGACTTACTGATTCTTGAGTTCACAAAAGGCTGAGTGATGCTGTGTGGATAATTTTCCTTTTTGCCTTTGAAGATAGAGCTTGTAACAAACTTCATCTGAAGCTGAAAAACAGAGATTAAATATAACTAGAGAAATTGCATTTCCTGTGAAAATGCAGTATAAACACTTGTTACAGAGGATCTTGCTGAGAAACAGCTGAAATTAGCTAAACATGCTGTAGCTGAAATGGAGGAACAAGCCTAAATTAGCAGAAGAAAGCAGACACAAATTTGCTGAAATAGGAAATAAGCAGAAATTAGCAGAAAATTTGGAAAGTAGCTAAAAAAAGCTGAAATTAGCACAAAAAATGGCTGAAAAGTAGCTGAAAGGCAGAAAGAAGCTACTACCAGAAGGAAGCAGAAAGAGCTGAAATGAGCTAAAAGTATGTGAACTTAGCCTAAAAAGCTCAATTTAGCATATAAATAGCTAAATAGTAGCTGAAACTAGCATAAGTAAGCTGAAAGGTGCATAACAAGCTGAAATTAGCAGAGAAAAATTAAGTAAGCTGAAAGTAGCAGAAATTACCATGAAAAATGTGAATTTGTCTAAAAACAGCTGAAAATAGCTAAAAAAAATGCTAAATGGTAGCTGAAAAGGTAGAACAAGCTTAAATTAGCAGAAGAAAGCAGAAAGAACATGTTTGCCAAATTAGGGCGAAAGAAGCAGAAATGAGCAGGAAAAAAGGGAAAATTATCTGAAGAAAGGCTGAAATAAAAAACAACAACAAAAAAAAAAAACCAGCTGAAAGGTAGCTTAAAAAGCAGGAAAAACTTAAATTACCAAAAGGAAGTGGAGAGAGCACATTTTTGCTAAATTAGGCTGAAAAATGTTTAAATGAGTGCAAAAAAATGTGGAATTAACCGAAAAGGCTAAAATTAGCATAAAAACAGCTAAATAGTAGCTGAAATGGCAGAAAAAGCTGAAACAAGCAGAAATAATCTGAAAGGAGCAGGAAAAGGTTGTAAACAGAGCTAAAGATGTGAGGGAGGTAAAATGAGCTCAATTCATTTTTTATGAGAAAATAAAATGTCAGAAAAGGCTAAATGTTTCAAGAAGCTAAAGTTGCACCAACACCAAAAGTCATAGCACCCTTCTCCTGAAAGAGCTGAATGTTTGGATTTATGATTTGTTGAAATAGCACAAAAATTGTGAAAAGAGAAAGATGCCGACAAATGTACGTAAGGAAAATGGATGACAATGGTGCGACGGCTTCCTAAACATCGTCACCGTAACTTGGTGAGTACAGTTTGCACGACGTGTCTGATGCATCTTACCTGCACTTTCTTCTGAGGTGTGATTCCTCTCACGTACTTCCGCACCATCAGACGGTAGTGAAGCTTACGCAGCATCTCTGATGCCTACAAAAATACTAAAATCATCCACAGAGTCAAAGTACCTGTCTCTATGTTATTACCTGGCGTTGACGTACCTCTGTCAGCACAGATGGAGGAGTTAACCACGTGGTTTTATCCAGAACTGTCTTTGGCAGGTTATTTTTCAGTCTGTTCAAGTAACTTTGCCTCACAAAGGCCAGATACTCGGAGTTATCCGTGTTTTTTGCTTGCCCTCTGTTTATGTAACCGTTGATGAATCTGAAATAGAAGGTCAAATATACATGATCTTTAAGTAAAAGTACTACAGACAAATGTAATCTGTGACACCGATTATATTGCTCACTTCTTGATGACCTTTACAGCCCAGGCTCTTTTCTCTTTTTCCTTTCTTGCCTGAGCTCCTCGCCAACAACTTTCAATCTTAGTTGCTATGAACATAATTTTTTTTAAAAGTACAGCAAAACAAACAAACAAACAAGATTTATTGTTGCATGATCTTAAAGGAATCTAAATCAACATCAGAATAAAAAGCACAGGTTGCAAAAAGAAAGTCACGCTTCTAAAAACAATCAGTTCTACTCGTCTTCACTGAGCTGGAGGAGATCATGTAAACAAATGTAGCAAGGAGAAAGTTTTGTTGACACATTAAACTAAAACCCTTTTTGAAAACTTAAATGATGTGAAGTAAAACAGTTTTAAGGCATAAGAACCTCTTTTATCTGTAAAACATGGTGGTGGTAGTGTCATAGTTTGGGTCTGTTTTAGTTGTTTATTTTTTGTTGTATTTGGTACAAAGATGTAAGTTATATGAAGAAATTCTAAAAGAAAATTGTAAAATATCTGGACTGATTCAAAACACGAAGTTACGGATTCATAATGGGGTCACAGCAAATACTGAAACCATAATTTCCCACTTAAAATTTGATAATTTTGCTTAATAGTCAAGTTAGTTAACGTTTGTTTTATTTACCTTTAGGCCTTGTGTTAAAATGCAATGATGATGGTAATATTTTTAGTGAGAAGGAGAAGAAAAATGTTCTAAAAGCTTAATAATAACACGTAGACCCCACAGTATTTCATGTATTTACCTGCTTCTTTCTGTTTCCGGAACTCTCCCTTTGCCTTGTATCCTTTGTATTTGGCCTGGAGTCGTGTTGCTGCAACCCCAGAGCTTAAATCTAAGTTACTGTTACCAAATGGTGATGAGGACGACTTTTAGGATTTAATTTAAACTCACCCAGGTCGTGTTTGCATTTCTCATAAGCATCTTCTGTGGCATAAAGTGTCCTGGGATGCCGAATGAAGATCTTGGTTCTACAAAAATCAAATAATGACCTTTTGTTTATTACTAGTTAGAAAGTGCATTTGCCCTATTATTGAAAGTGTAAGAGTTGTCCTCACCGTCCCATTTTGTACTCATCAGGCAGGTAACCCAGATGTTGAGCCAGCAGCTCGACACCATCAGCAGGCTGTCCTCTCCAGTGAGGCCAGGTGGCTGGGCACAGAGGCTTGTACCTGCAAAATGAGCCAAAAGAAGAGAGAAAAACTCACACTGGCAGTTATAGCTGAAAAAAATCAATCATGCATTCATGTGGAAAGCTGTGGTACCTCTTTAAGAAGTCCTCGTATTTTCGTCGATAAGCAAAACCAGCTCTTCTGACCCTGAGGTGCTCCATCAGGCCCAGGTACTTCACCTGGTGTCTGATCAACGCCTCATCGAACTGACCTACGAACGTGCGACAGTCAAAAAGGTCCAGATACCCAATCTATAAAGTCGATTTATCCTTTATTTTTTGTTACCATCAACTTTCTCTCAGCTGATGTACCTTGCTGCTTAGACTCATTCGATTTCAGGCAGCGTATGTACCAGGCCTCTTTAGCCATGAGCATCTCTGTCAGCTTCAGCAGGCTGCTCTTAAACTGGGTCACTACCTGCAGACAAAACTGAGGGTCAAAAGCTCCACAGCTTACCTGGTATCATACTTCAGACTGTGACAGTGCAGATAAAGATAGAATAAACTTAGAACAGTATTTTCAAAAAGAGGAATGAAATATAAAATTAGACGTTACAGTTAAGGGATGTGAGGAGCCGAATGTGGATGAACTCACTGTTTCTGGTCTTTTCTTGTTGTCTAGATCCATGCTGGAGAAGCACTCACTGACTATAGCATTTTTGGACCTACACATCAGCTACAAGAACACAAGGGTTGACGCCACACTCATGCACACGTTGACACACTCATACTGATTTGTCAAATACCAAACATCTTGTTTTAGTTACAATAAGCCCACATTGTTAACAGATTAAAGTCCTCCTTTTTGAGTACAAAACAGCAGACCTACATCTTTTATGTTTCTGTATAGCAGGTCATTGTTTTTGTCCAGGAAACCTTCCATATATAAAAAAAAAAAAAAAGACAAAGAACAAATTGAATCACAGAACTGCAGGAACAAAATTTCATTAACCAATATTGTATTTTATTTACCCACAACACAGTAGGTGACCTCCCCGGCATAATGCAAAAGACGGAAATCTCCTCTCTCCATAGTCTTGCGTATCATTTTGTCAGCCAGTTTGTGCCTGCAGTCGAACAGGGAGAGGAAGGAGGAGTGAGACGTGAATGCTGAAACCTTAAAGTTGTGCTCCATCATTTATGCTCACAATGTTTTTATAATAAATTAAAGTAATATTTTATCAAATATTGTTGTTGTTTCTTTGTTTTTAGTGGTCCCTTCTGCGGGGGTCACCATAGCGAGCAGCTTCACATGAAGATTTGGTAATTGTTTCACACCAGATGCAACGTGGGCTCGAACCTGCACCCTCAAGATAACAAGACTGCAGCTCTGACCACTGAGCTACCATCAAATATGAGTTAAAGCGATAAGAAAATGCACATTTGTGATTGCTGTTTGACTGCTTTTATAATGTTTCCAGTGATAAATCAACGTAAAGTTTCAACAACAAAACAAAGCTCAGGTTTTAACTCACGTGACAAAGTGGGGGTGATTCCCCATCTTTTCTTCCAACCTTTCAAGGAATGTGAGATCTGTGGCATCACCTGGCCTCAGACACTCTTCATCCTGCAGAATAAACATCAGCATGTGTATACATGTGTGTATTTAAAGAAAATAATAAATGATCTTTAACTACACACCAGTACTGAAATGATTCCTCTGTGCTTCTCCTCAACCAGGTCACAGATGATCTTGTTGTTAAAGAACAGAACTGGTTCCCACTTGGATAAAACATTCAGCAATTTAGCTCACATTACAGCAACATTATCATACCACTGAATGTTATTTTAATATTATATCACTTGTTAGTTCTTTTACCTCGATTCCTTCTGCTTCATATTCTTCCTGCTCGGCTTTGAGTGTCAGCTGGATAAAAAGCTGCTGCAGCTTCTCGTTGCAGTAGTTTATGCAGAATTGCTCAAAACTGGGGAAAAAAGGACAACAAGGAGAGAAAATTTGCCGTTTTTAACCGCTTTGATTTTAAAATGTATAATCAGATTACAGCTCCATCCCATAACTAAAACTAAGGTCACAGCAACAATAACGTCTTGATTTGTCAGGCTATAATGTCATGAAGCAAAAAGATAAGCATTCACCTGTTTACATAAAACACCTCAAATCCATAAATGTCCAAAAGTCCTATGACCGTCTTCCGTGAGGAGTCCTAATAGAAAATAAAATATCAGTTAAAATAATTTATCCAAATGTTATTTGGTATTTTTCTTGACATTTCTATTCTTACCTTGTTCTCTATTGTCTCATTGATCCTGTTGACCAGCCATGTGAAGGTCTGCCCATAGATGGCTTTAGCCAGGGCGTCTCTGACATAGATGGCATGATCAATCGTAAATGGACTGAGGACCTTTAAAATGAGCAGACATGACGGGGGTAATTCATGTGAACCCAATCTCATCCGACAATAAAAGTGAAGAAGGCTTCAGTGTGTGCGAACCTGTTCACGTTTGGCTTCAATCTTCCTGAACGTAAGGTCCTCCAGAAGCTTGTTGGCATCCACACCTAAAAGCTGCCAAGAAAAACAGCATGAGGCACGTGTGCACCCTTGTGCTGAACATGAACACATTAGTCTTTTTCGTACATTTGAAACCCAGTCCAGATCCGTGTTGTCGTTCAGAAGTGCATGACCTTTTCCGTCTGCGTCAAACTGAACATTCCCCAAGTGGAGAACGCTTGCAACGACCTCAAACAAGTGCTGCACGGAAGCACAAGTTTGTGTGGACTGTGAAACAAGCCAGCAGCAGCACACTGTACATCACAACATCTGTAATACAATGACTTACACCGGTGTTTGTTTCATCAAAGTCAATGACTTGTAGAGCATTTTTCACAGATTTCCAATCATTCCTGTCATTAATAGACGACACAGTGGCACACTGCCCCTGTTAGGAACATGAAATAAACTGTCAGGACATTTTGAGATTATTCAATGCTACTGAGAAAAGTTTCACCAAATCCTACGGACTTGTGTGAGATAGTTGTATCGCTGACAGTCTCTCTCCAGGCCCAGCTGCTGCAGCAAGTTGTCTGATCCTCCCTCCACCAGCTGATAAAAGATGTGGAAGTTTCTCTCCCCGTGATTCTGATGCGCAACCCTCGACTTCTCCAGCAGGTAGTTCAGAATGTGGCCTCCAACAGCATCGCCCTGAGGACATCATGATATGTTTATTTTTATTTGGCATATAATGTTCATTTATAAACTATTTGGCTTTCTGTCTGAAGCCTTTCTTTGGGTCCTCACCTGACTGTCAAACTGGATGTCCATGTATTTCCCAAATCGACTCGAATTGTCGTTTTTCAGTGTTTTTGCGTTACCAAAAGCCTACGGTTAAATCAAGTAATTTCAGTCATATTAAGAAGCTTAAAGTGAATTTTGGGGATGCAAATGCACAGAGAATTCATCAGACCTCCAGGACAGGGTTGGACATGAGCATTTTGTCTCTGACGGTGTTCAGTAAGGTGGTGCTCGGACAGCTGACAGCGTAATACTGCAGGATCTTCTTGGAGGCCTCGGTTTTCCCCGCTCCACTCTCACCAGAGATGAGGACGAAGTGATTGTTGAACTCTGTCAGCATGGTGTGGTAGGCGTTGTCTGCTAAGGCATAGCTGAAAAAAAGCAAACATTACACTTGAAGGCAAATTAAGATGAACTAGAAAAAAAGTTATTTTCATTGGGATCACTTTAATTATTATGTATTTGTAGCCACATATTTATTAAAGTACAGCAGATACAGTTATGGTAAAAAGCTGCTTCTCTTAGTTTTGAAGTTTTGCTTGTCACATATAGTGTGCAAATTCACATTTCACACAGACAGACACACTAAAGAACAAAAGCACATTCAAATGAATTCATTTGTAATTCACCTTGTGACATTTTAAACAGCTTTACTCTGCACCTTACATCTGCCCCAGTCTTCTAGTAGTGCATGTTAACACAAACAAATTCTAAATAAGTTTGCTCACTAATGCATAATCTTTTATCTGTCAAGTGACAGAATCTGTCAAATGCTGTCAAATGATGAACTGAGTTGGAAATGGTGATTAAAGAAAAGGTTAGTTGATTATGCGTGTTGACACAAAACTTGTGCTGAATGATGTTCAGCTCTGCAGGCTGCCAGTCTGTTTCAGCAGCTCATGTTAGGTGGTAAAGTTTCAAGTTCGTGGAAAGAGAACACATTTTGTGACTACATGGATTAACACATATGACAGTGCTGCACAAGTAGCCTTACCTGCTATAGTTCACTGTCTAAACCACACAAAATCATCATTAAGCATGGTCAAACATGGAAATGAAGGGGTAATGATTTGGACTTTCTATTCACCCACAACCTTGCAGTAATTTGTCTGACAATAAACTCCTTCATAAATCAAAGTATTCTAGAAACAAATTAAAGACCATCTGTCCCACAGCTAGGGTTAGCTGAACTAGGTCGTACAACAAGACAATGATCCCAAGGACAGCAGCAAATTTTTAACATCCCTCGATTACACACACACACACACACACACACACACACACACACACACACACACATACATATATATATATATATATATATATATATATATATATATAATTTGGGAGAGCTGTTGCCTCTGAGCGAGGAGGTCAGCGGATTAAATCCTAGCTGGGGGCCTTTCTGGGTGGAGTTTGCATGTTCTCTCCGTGCATGCGTGGGTTTTCTCTGGGTATGTACTGTGGTTTCCTCCCACAGACCAAAAACATGCATGTTAGGCTGATTGGTAACTCTAAATTGTCCCTAGGTGTGAGTGAGAGAGTGAATGGTTGTTTGTCTCGTTTGTCTCTGTATGTCCCTGTGATGGACTTGGGATCTGTCCAAGGTGTCCCCCGCCTCTCATGCAGTGACTGCAGGATATGGGCACCAGAGACCAGAAAAAGGAGAAGTGGGTAAAGATAATGTATGTACAGTACTGTTCCTGTATTTCATTTTTTATTTTTTTGTCAGTTAAGTAATAGAACAGTGTTATGGTGTTGCTTTTACCTACACTTTTTACCATGTCAGTATTTTCACAATATTTAAAAAGTTTTAAATTAGCATTCATTTTTTTCAAGTCAATTACCAATTACACTTGTTTAAGCTAATTAACATTACGACATGGAAATAATCTGCAACCACCAGAATTTTCTCAGAGTTTGGACCTCTCAGCTAAGTCTATTTAAGAATTATGTTCTACAAGAATAAGGGGAAAGGTAAAGAAAATGGAAAATAGCTGTTTTCAAAATTATTTATTTATTTATTGTTTTACAAAATAGTAGAAATATTGTACAGAGTCATCCATAATCAAGAGACAGAGAAGAGCTGCAGCATCACTAATCAGAGATGAGTGTTGGTCCTAAAAGGTTTCGATAGACAGTCAAGAAAAACTTTAGATTCTCTGAATTGTTTAATCACAGAAAATCTACTTGTAAGAAACAGCTCAGACAGATTATGACACTAAACTATGTCAGTGTTTATGTATGTTGGAGAAAAAGTCCTTGCTCATTCTTTTGAAATATTAAAAATAGTTTTAATAAAAGCAGCTGATGACTATATGAAGGATATTCTTAGGCCAAATAGCAAAAAGATGCTTGACACTGGTCCATTGTGCTGGACATAAACCTACAACAAATTTGTTTGATAGTAACATAAACACACAGTGTGGTCATATGAGGCTGCTAATAAACGTATTGGAAGAATTAAAATGCCAAAATATGTTTTGCACAATGACTCCCTGTTTCCAGAAAATTTGCAGAGAGGTGGATGATTCAGCATGTTAAACTACCACGCTGTCACATACGACGTGTTAATTAACTCACATTTTGAACTGTGGGAGGAAGTCAAATAAAATCTTCCCGTCATGTATGGAGGCAACATGCAAACGCCACCTTAAAAAGCCTCGTCTGAGATGCAGGTGGTCAGCATTAACCACTAATCCATCGTGCAGCCAAACCCCTGCAAATCAGAAGTCTGTGTGACTTTAATAATCTTCAAGATGCAAAGGACCAAGTTTGTTATGAAACACACACAGACTACTTCACTCTCTGGGAGCCTGCCTTAAATGATAATAAATTTAGTTTCAAACTTTCATAGTAAAATAAAGAAACAATACAATTTGATTAAGATGATATAATTTTCAATTACACACTTACATGTGTGGTGGAAGCTCAAAAAAGTTGACGCCCATATAGACATCCATCTGTTTCTGGCTGTAGATGTCCAGCTCCTTATAGGGGTTGACGGACACCAGCAACGTGCCGATGTACGTCTAAATAGGTGAGTAAAAATGTTACTGGGGCTACTGCATAAACAAGTACACATATATCGCGCTGAGACTCACGTAAATGAGATCCTTGTTGAAACGTTTCTTTAAGTTGCTGATGACAGCTGCTTCTGTGGTTTCATCCAGAAGGACAAAATCCTGGATTCCCACCCGGTCTCTGGCAGTCAGGGCACTCTCCATGTCCAGCCGAGCCTGCGCAACAACCGCATCAGGACTAAATGCACAACTTGAGTGTACAGAGAATATGTATGTTTAAATTAGATGGCATATTTCTAAAACACATAAAAAAGCAGACTGGGGAAAGAAACACATGCAACATTTTTGCTGGCATTAAAATTTGGTTAAATTTGGTTTGAATTTTTGCTGGCATTGTTCTAGAATTGCGCCGCTCAAGGTGGCTGCATGTTGGAGCAGCTCTGTTACTTTCATTCTGAGATTTTGCTTTTGGAAACTTTAATTCCTCTTTTTCTGGATGCAAGTCACATTTTTTTGGATGATTGTTTCCTCTGGTATCAGATGCTGTGCAGCTGGAAGGATTTTTACTGAAACATTTTTAGTTTTGGACATTTGTTATGATGCGTAACCATGGCAACAAGGCAGTTTTCTACAACAACAGCAGCTGATTAACATCTCAAAAGCTCAAATAATATCTCAACTACAGTCCCAAATTTCAAACGAGTTGAAAGGATGTTCTGTGGACGCATTCTCATCTACCTGCCAGTTGTGCTCGAGTGCCTGACCACTGAGATCCTGGAACTAGCAGGAAACATGGCTCATGACAGCAGAAGGACAGGATCGTCCCTCGGCACCTACAGTTGGCTGTCCGCAGCAATGAGGAGCTCGGCAGACTGCTGGGAGGAGTGGTCATCACTCTAGGAGGAGTTCGGCCTGGCATTCGGGTGGTCCTACAGCCCGGGGGAACCGAGAGGTCAGCCGAGTCTGGGTGGATGGATCAGCGGCATCTGCAGCCAGTTTCTTAGGATCCACTGTGGGATGGACCTTTACAAGAGATCCTTCCTGACTACAGCCATCAGTATCTATAACATCTCTTATTGAAATGAGGATAACGAGTTACAGCAACAAATAATTTCCCTCTGGGATTAATAAAGTATTTTTGAATTTAATTGAATTGAAAAGACTATTTAAGGTTTGAGGTCATGTATTTTGACAACTTCACCTGCATGAATGAGTGTTTCGATAAGTGGCTCCACGAGAGAGGACAACATTATAAAACGGAGCAGAAAAAGCACAAACACAGTATCTGTCTGATCTATTGAAAGAGGAGGTTTAGAGGTCCTGAATGTCTTTGTAGCAAAGGTCTCTGATTGTGCAGACGAACACAGAAAGATCATTGCTACACAAAACGATCATTGCACCACAGCTCCCAAGGAGCTTGGCCGACTGCCCATATATTCATTGGAGCCGATGCGCCGTCCAAACACAAGGCCGAGGACAAATGGACTGGCAGAGCCTAAAACAGTCCACATTTAAGAGGCATAGTGGGAAAAAAATTCCACCAGTCTGTTTTGCATTCACAGCACCAACACTTGGACCAAAGGTTTTCACAGCTTTTGTTGGTTTTGCATCCCCCCAACTTTTTTCCCTCTCTCTTTAGAAGCAGAAGTCCTTTGATTCTCAACTCTCTCTGTAAAAACATTTAAAAAAAGATAATCCATTGGATCTAATTGACACAAAGCCCTCCTTTCCCCCCTCCCCTGTGCCCCCCGTCCTCCATCTATGGCCCTCGTTTCTTCTGAGAAAGGCCAAATGTTTTTTGTCCTGTAAATACCACGGAAAAGAGACAAAAAAAGACGTCTTTAAAATGCAGTCTACAATCCATTACACATATTCCCCCTGCATATCCATTCAGTAATTATTCATTAGAAAACATTTAACGTCACAGTGAATTTCACACTAGGCAGTCGAAACACAATGGAAGTGATTTTGGCCTATTTTGGGGTGAGGAGTTGGGGGGGGGGGGTTGTAGCTGTACAGAGGAAGGGGTGAAGGCGAAGAAGGCCAGAGGAGGAGGAGGAGGAGGAGGGGAGCAGCATTTGTCTGATCTGAGAACCTCTGAAAACGGGGCCGTCTTGAGACAACGAGACAGACTAAATGGTGCAGTAACGGTCCGTGCCCCGCTGCTTGCTGTGACACTCATTTGGTGTGCTTAGTGTGCCCCGGGGGCAAACAATAGAGGTTTGTTCTGAGCGGTGTTGTGCTGTAATTTGGACTTCATTACGTTGCTCGAGCAGGGCCCCATGGAAGGACAGAGGAGACTAGTCAGATAGGAGTGTGTTTTTTTTTTAATTTTTTTCCCACCTGTCAGCACCGTACCCCCAATCCTCTAAACCCTTTCTTAAACAATACCCCTCACCCTGTGTCCCCCACCAATAACCCTCACACGACCCCCTTCCCACAGCACTCCCCTCCCACCCACCCACTTTAAGCCAATGAGACAGGTGAACAATATCATTGAAGGAGCCCCTTTTTGGACGTCAGAATCAATCTGGCGATGTGATGGTGGTGGTGCTGGTGTGGTATATCTGTGACACCCCCCTTCTTTCATGGGAACAAACTTCTCTCAGGGCTTCACAAGGAGACAATGTGCATAACTCAGGGATGCCATACAGTATTACAAGTGGACAGATAAGCTCCTGTCAAGAGGGGGTATTGATCAGTTCAGAAGCAATAATAATGCTAATGCTTTCAGTTTTCTGACTGAATGTAAAGGTCTGCTGTTTTCATTCTGCTTTCCTTTGGTGTTCCTGCAGCTATTTTCCTTTTATGACAGCTGTTTGCAGAACGGATAAGTGTTTCTAATGATACTGTGTTGGAAAGGCCAAATGGGCGTTCTCAGCCCAGGACACAAAGAACCACCTTGAAGTATGTAGATGTTATGTTTGTACATAACGAGCAACATAATAGTTCAAATTATAATTAAACGAGTGACAGCCAACGCGCAGCGGAAAGAAAGATTGTGTAATTAATCCTCAAAGCAAGCGTCAGATCAGGTGCGTTGCTTTGATACTTCACAGCACAACCAATAGTATTTTAATTAAGAGATGGTCCCTTGACCTGGTCTAGAGTATCAGTGTTGCCTGAGACAGAGTGACCTCATCTGTGCGGGAAGTGGAGGCAGCTTTTTGAGACGACAGAGAAAGGGAAGAGAAGTGGCTGCTGAGGAGTTTCATTCGTTTAAACACAAACAAGAACATTTCTGTCCTTACAAAGTAGACTGACGCTGATTTAACTTGACCTGATCGCTAAAAAAGAAAGCAAGCTTCCAGAAATATTGTTAATTTTTTGACAGAACAGCTTGATTTGAAGTTAAATGAAGCAGGTGAAACAGCTCTCAAATTTGTATAGCAATCCTCAAAGGAATGCATATCGCCCGCCAGCTTTCATGCAAGAGATTTAAACTAAGATCAGCTTGTGTTAACGGCTTTATAGCTGTTTTGGTCCAAACTTGTAAATGGTGTTATGTATGATCACATGTAATATTGTAAGATCTCGCAAGATGTGTGAGTGCTCCGAGTATGTGTTGTGCATGACTCTCAACTACTACCACACCAAATTTTAACTTAATGTTGGTAAAACTGGATGTTTTATAGCCAGTTTCTGTTTCCTATGGTCAGTTCGTTGTGGTGGCCATCTTGAATTGGCTTGACTACAAAACCTAATATGTTGTAGACAAATACATAATGTTTGTTTTCTGAGAGTTTAATTAAAATCCGTTCACTGGTTCATGAAATATTTTGCTTTCTGTCAGACAAATGAACACACATGGGCAAACACGCACGGACACAAGCAAAAGCATTATCACCCTTTCACCTTTGACAATAATGAATGAAATGGTAAATGGACTGTATTTTATATAGCTCATTTCTATCTTATCAAGACACTCAAAGTGCTTTACATTACAATCTGTGTCCCCATTTACCCATTTATACAGCACTCTACTATATTTATACAAAACTAATTGAACAAATCATTCTAAAGAGACTAATCAGTGCTTTATCACAGTCATACACCGATGGGACACACATCGGAGGCAATGAGGGGTTCAGTGTCTTGCCCAGGGACACTTCAGCATGTGACTGCTGGTGGATTTGAACCCCCAACTCTTGCATTGGAGGATGACTGCTCTAACTACTCAGCCACAGCCGCCCCATAAAAAAAAAGATGAATATCCTTGCAAAGCATGCAAATATCGTCAATTTGCATGTTGTATCGACTCAATTAAATCAGCCACCAGCACCTTAATACTCACTAATTATTATAATAAATATATTATTAATATATTATTATCTTTATGTTTGCTGAATTTGTTCCGTATATACTAATCATTTAACAAAAACAAAACAAACAAAAAACATCCGGGCTACCAGTAAAAACAACAAAATGACTGATTTTGGATAATTCAGCTGCTTCGTCTCAACCAGTCAGTTGTGATGCTTCTTACAAATAATCACTTTAAAACAAATATTTAAACTCTTCTAGTAATGTGATTCCCCCAATCCCCCCCCCCCCCCCCCCCCCCCCCACACACACACAAAGCAAACTCAAACCTGCATTTCTGAAGCTCGGTGAGTTTGCCAACAAGCTGCAGACTCTTGGTCCTCTCCTCCAGAGAAGCAAGGCAGAAACACTGAGTCCTTTTGTGTGTGCTGGCATGAAGATGATCAGTGAACAGCTGGGCTCTTGGGAGTCGTTTGAAAAAGTCTGGACACGTTTCCTGTCCTCTCCATCATCTAAAAGCTCCTTCATGTATTGTGAGATATGTTGGTGATACTGCTTGGAGGCCATAAACAGATCTAATGATGTCTCACGCAGACCCAAGGCGCTGAGGCCGAGTGCTGAATCATTCATGTGTTGGAAGGTAGAGAGATCTTATTCAGTCTTACCGTGCTGTCTGCTGCTCTACTGAGTGTAACATAACAATACAGAAACAGGATCTAAACCGCACCAACTCATCCCACCCCCACTTTACCTCTCTCTTTCTTCTCTGTTTCTTCTGTCCTTAATCTCCATTACATCACTGGGACAACAAAAAGCTCCCAGTTTCAGGTCTGGTTGCTGATTTTTGATTAGCTGGGTAAATTACAGATTGATTAAAAGCTGCTTTCAATATGACGGGATGTGCGTCCTTAAATATTCCTAAAGTTGCTGCCATTGGTTGCAGACTAGTAAAGTGTTTA